TGGTATCGATGCTTTCTATTTAATTAAAAAATTTAGAATAGCAATAAGCATGAATATCGTTAAGATCGAATAGTGGATGCTTTAATAAAAGATTAACTTGTAGATCTGAGCTATTCGACCATAGCATATTTAGTAAAAATGAGATTTTCCAACACTTAAGCTTAAATTATTTATAATAGGAGTAATGAAAAGAAAAATAATCCATTATTTTTGCATGAATTAAAGGCTTATTCAACATAGGTAATTATGAATGTTGCTATATAGTATGTAGTTATGATTGTAATTATAGAATGATATGATTTAGGTCAAATATGGGTCGTTTTGTTCGATAACTTATTGCCATTTTGAAAGTAATTTCATTATGCCGCCCTCATAGAATTCCTCGTCCCTATTGTCAAAAAATTGAGACAGTCGATTTGCACAAGCCTCTCTTGAAGCAAAATTTTTAACTGAAAAATCATTCAACATGGACAAGTTTAGATGATAATCACTTCGTGCGAGGTCTGCACTATAAGGCGGATGCATAAGAACTTCCCAATCAAGCACTCGGAGCTTTTGACGAATCATTATCGATGTGTATGAACTGACGTTGTCCTGATGGAATACAATTCCTCTCCTATTGGCTTAAGTTGATCGTGATTAATTTGGGTGATTACTTCGTTTAGACGGTACAATTGTTGACAATACAGTTTCGTGAAAACTAATTTTAGTATAAATAAATAGTATAAATATTTAAACCCCTTTTTTGATTTTTAATTGTCTACTCCATTGCTACATGATGTATTTGAATATCATTTCACCACAACTTATAAAACATTTTAAATTAAAATTAATTATTTTTTTGGAATATAATTATCCCCTTTTAAATTTGTAATATCTACTTCTCTGCTGCATAATGTATTAGGTAGAATTAATTATATTGGTTAATGTACCTGTCCAATCATTATAGCTTCTTGGCACACCATAATCATATCGTAGCAATTAAATGTAAAAATGTAGCAATTTAAGATACTAAACAATTTATAGCACTTCAAATACGTCACCTTTAACTATAAACAAATATCATTAAACATTTAATAAACTAAAATTATCCAATTTTAATCGGAAAATCTAATTTATTTACCATGTACCATGGATATAAACGCAAGTAACTCAATTTAACATTTTCCACCATCGAACGATCGGGGGGCCAAATTCAAATTCAAATTCAAATCCAAACCCAAAGCAGAAAAAAGCTGTGGCAGAGGAGAGCAGTAGAGGACTGGCTTGGCTGCTGCTGGAAATGGTACGATCACTTAGCAATTTTCAAACTGAATTTGCAAATTAATGCTTACAATTGGCAAAATAAATGTTAACAACTGAAAATTTCTGCATTTATCATGAAGAGATTAGAGTCGATTATAGGAGTCGAGAAGCTACTCAACGCTACCCAAGGCAACCCAACGCAAGACGCAAGGCCCGAAAAGTCAAAAGGAAAGTTTAGACCAAAAAAGGAGGTGCTCACTGTATTGGCCAAGAAATGAAAGAAAAACGATTAAATTGCAATAAATGTCAATGTGGCAATAAGTAAGCATTGCTTGCATTTAACACCAAAAACCAAACCAAATCAAAAAAAAATCCTATTGAGGATCGATCGGGTTGGCTCTGACTTTAACTTTAACTTTAACGGTTCAAATAAATTTTCTCCATTTGGTGCAAAGGTTTCGCCTGCCATGCCAAGAATAATAACGATTTTATTTTATTATCATTTTATTTTGTTATTTTGTTATTTTGCTATTTTGCCTTTTATTGACTTTATTTTTATATTGTATAAAGATATTTTTTTTAATGTTATCGTAGATGAAACAACAAATGCCCATTTTGTAGATGAGGTCAATAAAAATCGGGCACGTTAGCCCGAAGTCTGAAGCTTCCTTGAGTTCTGTTTTGGTTTGTGGCAGATTTAGTTTTCTTTTGGTTGGAATTGTTGGTCTTATTTTCTTGGTAAAACAATTTTGGTTTGAATTTATATTTGCTGTAGTTTTCAGTTGTATTTGCTTTTGGGTTAGTTTGGCCAATTTCTTTCTCTGATTTTTATTTATTTATTTTTTTCTATTGCTGTTGCTGCTGCTGCTGTTGCTATTGCTATTGCATTAGTTGCAACTTGTGAAATGCAAATTGTAACGTTCCCACGTTTGTTGCATGCTTAGAAATTGAAGCAACAGGGCAGGCAGACTTTGCAGTTTCTATTTATTTTGGCTACACGTATTTGGCAACAATTTGATAAGTCCAAATGCAAACCAACGGCTCAACGGCTCAACGACTCAACGGCCCAAATCAAATCCAATCCAATCCAAATGTGGTAATTTAGAAACTAAAATTTATTACTCATATAATTAGACTCAATCAGAGATGTCGGTTTGCTATTTATACTTGCATACGACCAGTATCGCATATACGGAGCTTTATGTTTTACAATCCATTTTTGGCACGGAACTACCTTTGTGTGATTTACTATTTTTTTCTACTGATTTACTATTTTCGAATTGCACTTCAAATAGATTCTCACGCATAAAGTGAGTGATAGATATAGGTATACTTGTTGTAGTGATCATACATTAATTGCACAATTGTCATAAAAATCACTAATAAAATTTATGAATTTAAATAGTTTAGTTTGGTATATAGGTTAGGTTAGGTTATAACGACGATCCCAAGCAATCTACATAGGTCAATAAGTCCATTATGTCACCTTATAATTAAAAACCCAACGGTTAGAACCACTTATAATGCTATTGAGAGGTAGGTCTTGCAGTTCGCCAAGATCCTCAAAAAATAAAACCCCTAAAGTGTTAAGGCTCCGCACATACGTCAGACAGAAGCAAAGTAGATTGGAGGCACTTTCATTGTCCTCACCACAACTGCGGCAGGTGTGGTTGCAAGGAAGATTTAATCTCTTCCTATAGGTCATTGTATCCTAGCATAATACAACGACCTGTAAATAAACCTACTACAAGACTGATATCTTTACGAAGCATATCAATGAGATTCTTGATTTCTTTTGAGTTTTTCTTTGATTTAATTTTGATTTATTTTTTAAATTTCTTTTCTTGAAACGTGGCCAAATTGTATACAGATGACTGCATATCCTTGAGATTTTCCATATTTTATTAAAATGTTCGACACAAGAAGAGCTCAGTGCCAGTTAACTTGATGCCAGCTTTGTTTAGGTGTTCTGAAAATATCCCTTTGAGCGGGAACCCAGATTAGAAAAATATTGAACTACATTCACATCTTATTTAGAGATATGTAGCAGTCAAAGACTGTCCTAGATGTAAATTAGACTAAGCTCAGGCACTTTAAAGCAGGTTAACTGTCCGTACTTTGGTATATAAATTATAACGAAATTGAAATTGGTGATATATCAATAATCTATACTAGTCATGAATATATAACTACTCTATAGTCAGGATCTCGTGAGATCCTTCAAAGTGATGTTAGACTTAAAGTAGGTTTGCAATTGGACCACTATCAATTTGGAAACCATGCTATAAGATTAAATACTGCCACAATGCCTTTTGCCGCATATTTGACGAAGTTAAAGAAAGCGTTTCACATCTCCTTTGTCATATTATAGCGCAGGGACGCATACAGTGACAAGTTCCAAGGAACTACAACATAGAGAAAAGCGTTTTATTTGTGTTTTTAAAAATAAAACGCCCGACGTTTCAATTAGTCTCCATCGTTTCCGAAATATCAAACACTTATGTTAGCATTCATATTTCACTTACATATTGTATTTTATACATATTTTAGTGACTATTGTAGTGATAATTTCAAATCATTGTATTGAAATGTAACGTACCCTATAAAGATGGGTACGTGACCTAACGCACTCGAGTCTAATAGAACTTTAGATCGCAGTTAAGTCTAATCGATGTTTAAATTCGCCCAATAGAAGTAGCTAAATTTCTCTGCCTTCATTACGTTTGACTTCAATTTAAATTCCACACATTTCTGATTTATTCTTAAACCTAAATAATCCCCTTCACGATTACACTGCTATTATTTATCCACATTCTAACCTATGTATACTTCTTAGGACCCTTCTCATAAAAGTAGCGACGTTAACACTACCTATCTACATCATAACCCATGTATAGTTTTTTGTAATTCCTTTCATGATATATACTGTATAGATCCTTGTGGGCTACAACAATAACAGAAGCACTTCTTATAGATATATTAAGTAATTATTTGCACATTGGGTTACAAGCCAAAAAGAATACCTAAGATTACTCTAATAACAGTGAAAATAAGTTATTACAAGTTAAGAATAAGAAAGAATAAAAAACAAGAATAAGTCTTTTTATAAATATATTAAGTAACATAATTATCTGATCTTATCAAGGTTTGTAAACTCATCAAGATTTATACAGGAATACAATATGACAGTAGACTAAAGAACCCGTCTGGGATTCTCATAATAACATTATCTAAGATAGAAAAGCTCTCTATTAATATATATATATACTGACTATCTGAGCCCACAACGATTTGTATATTTAAATAGTTATATAGCTAATAAGAAATTGTATTTGTATTCTACTTTACTATAGGATTTGCTTTGATGCAAAATTATAAAAAGTGGTTCCATATATTTCCATGATTATCTTTCCAATAAAATTAATAACCAGCGATATAGAATAATCAATTAGATATTTTTCTGCATTTTTGTTTGATTCAAGATATATTAAATGTATGTAACGATTAACTTAAAATATGTATATATTAAACATTGTAAATATTCAGATATATACTGAGTTATTATTATACATTTAATGCATATATATATTATAAATATATATTATATCTTAAATACTGTAATTGAAATTTATTTACGATTCTAAGTAATTGCATTTATTTGGTTTCATTATATGTGCATATAGAATTTCAATTAATTGTAGTTTTTCAATTTCATCACATTATTTTTTAAAAATTCATATAATTTTAAAATAATTTTAAATAAAAATAAAATAAAACACAGGTAATATTGAAACACTTACCTTTGGAGTATGATAAATATCACTTTCGGTATTTTTATTACCGCCAACACCAATTTCACTCATGTAGTCGCCCATAATGTCAGTCTCTTCGACGCCATAAACGCCAAGCGGAATCGAAGGTGCTGTAGCAGTAGTCAATTGATTTAGATTTGATAATCCTGACGAATATTTTAGTTTTTTCTTATTTGAAGCAGCTAATTCTTTATCGCGTCTTGCTTGAAATACTTTACGTTCGAAATCATTAAAATAATCAACCGTAGGCTCAGCACCTTTCAAATTGGAAATACTATACGCCATCCATTGTTCAACAAGTTCTGCAGCGTCAATATGATACGACACACATAAATCTAGACCTATTAATAAGAAATATATATAATAATGTTTTACTAAAAAAATAATAATAATAATAAAATAAACAGAAGCACGCTTTATATTTCCATCAATAAATTGTTGCTTATTTTGTTAATTGACCGCATGTTCACCTTTTGCAATGACTGCTGCTGTAGGTTCTACGCCAAGCTCATCGAATTGGATTCTTAATTCTTCATCCATTATTGACACAATTTCTTAAGTTTATTGTAATAAATAAAGATATTACTTTTGTAAATAATAATTTATGTGCAAATAACAAACGAAATTCACTTCAGCTGTTCCGTTTTTCGCGCTAAAATAATTTGTTTATGAAATGTCAAACTGAACTGTCAACTGACAACTGTCAAACAAGCCGATTTTTTTCTAGATAAATCAGATAATCGGCGAAAATGACAAACAGCTGATTTCAGATGAACAAAAAAAATCACAGCATAGGTTTTTGTACAAATAGGAAAATAGTATAATTTTTTGATAAAAATGGTGATCGGTGCCTTTCCAGCAGCAAAACTTGGTATTCTAGCAATTAAACAAATAAGTAAACCTGTTGCTAATGTTATAAAAGCCAACGCTAAGCAAAGTCCGACCTTTCGTAAATATGTTTGCATGCCACCTGCACAGTGTAAGTGAGAGGCGAAGTAGTGATTAATAAATTGTTTTTTTTTTTAATTGCATAATTTTTAAAACATTAATTTTATGTTTTATTTACAGTTTATAATTGGGTGGAAGTGAAAACAAAAAGTGGCTTTGATTGGGCAGACCAGTGTACAGTTCCACCTTAATGAAGCTATGGCTATAGAATTGGGTGCCATTTTATTAGGAATTTATAATATTTGCTATAGGTGCCGTTTTTAATATTGAATAGCCCGGTATTTTATTGAGCTAAATATATGTATTTGTTTATATATATTTTTTAAATATATTTTTAATGTACAGACAGAGCAAAAATGAGTACAAAAAACAAGAAACTCAGAAACAAGATAGAGCAGCTTTAGTCACTCAATTATCGGAAATGGGTTTCCGATTAGAAAGACAAGATGCACAAATTCGAGAGTTAACCAGAGCACTAGCCGATGTTGGTATGTATCGTGTTGTGGTGAATATAACAAATGCACTTTTCATAATGTCGTTAATGTAAGAGAACATTGAATGACTGACTGTACATTGTTCAGTAAAGCTTAGAATGTATTGCTCCCAAACAAAATTTGCTGACTCTGCAATTGGTTCGGTCACAAAAATTTTGCAATTTTGCATATAGTCTTTTCGTTTATCAATCTAAAATAAGGAAATAGTAAGGGTAGAAAATTTTCATTATGAAAAATGTTACAGATCAGGGATTGGTTTATATTTATATATATTAAACACAACAAAACAATAGAATATTTTATTTATAAATATGATTCAGAAACCGGTAATTATATTAGAAAAAATATTATTGGAAGGAAAATTAGAATCATATAAAACATAGAGACACAAATTGTTTATATTTTTAACAAAAATTTTTAACAAAAAGTTTTTAACAAAATTTATTACTACTCAAATCGTGCAATTGCTTTATAGAAATATGACTCCAAATGGCTAATATTATTAACAAAACTAGTAGATTTTATAAAAAAATATTTTATGAGACTTATATAGTATATCTTCCTAGCCTTCAGTACCACTTATAAAACCTATTAGCTTTTGTGACAAATGGCAATTAGTCACCTAGGTAGACGGGAGACTTCGAACGCTCCTGGAACCATTGTTAACACAAGATAAAGTAGCTTAAATGTCTTTACATTATAATAAATATAATATCATCAATAATTACTCACAAATAACTTAATAAGTTAGAATATGTAGAGGATTCTATCAACACTATTCATTCTCTTTGTTTCATTCGTGCAATATCATTTTTAATAAATAAATTTTAGAAAGTGTGATCAAATTAGAATTATATATTTTGACCTTTCGAATTAATAAATTAATTATGTGGCGAGGTATCAACAAGATATGTGGCAAATTTGATCACTCTGTATATATTTTAAGTTTAATTATTAATTTAAAAAAATTAATATAATTTTTTTATTAATAAAAATCTCTATATTCTCAGGTGCTACAGATTTAAAGAAAGTTCAAATAGATAAATCTATAAATGCAAAGTCAGAACAAAAAATAATAGACACGAAAACTTTAACAAAAATTCAAGAAACGAAAGAACCAAATAAAAATCAAAACAAAGATAATAAAGTTTCAGAAATCCTTGAAAAAAAATAGGCTATTTATTATTAAGAAAAAAATAAAAATTAATCAACTAATTTTATTTACGTAGATTCACGTTCCATATTTAAATGGCATAAAGAGGCCATACCCGAATATAAAACATTCGATCCAAATACTCCCGATCAAACCTCTAGAGTGACAAAAAATTTTCAAGGGCTTTATAATCCAGCTGAAGGAAATTTATTTAAATCATTAAATTTTCTGGAAACGCAAATATTTGGTAATAGACAAAAACACCAACAACAACAAC